ACACGTGGCTGTGAAATCGCAGAGATGTCGTCAGTTTGGATTGCAGAAGAATTGGGTGTGTTGGCAGCTTTACCAACCAAAAAATCTTTTAATCTTAGTAATATTCAGACGAGCATTATGACAATCGGAGTATGTCCTGCAAATGTCCTCCATTATCAGCCGAAAAACATAGTGACCCATGAAGTAATGGTTTCTCGCGGTTCTGTAAGTTGTTTAAAAAATTTTTTTTTCCATTTTCTAATAATGTTATTGCAGGTAGAAGTTGTGGTACCATCCGAGTGTTCACATCGGTCATTCCTTGCGCCGACCGACTCGTTGATAACTTGCAGAGAATGTTTTTGCACGGTAACTCTTGTAGCAGACAATATTGCTTACTTATAGAACATCATCTGTTTTGTCAGCACTCTTTTGCCTTTTTCTTTTTTTTTCTGACTTTTGCTGATCCAAGAATTTTCAGATGACTGCAGCTTCGTTCACTGCTGCCGAAGCATATAGGAATGGAGGTGTCTCAAAGGTAGCTGAATTTTTCTCATGCACACTTTAGCGGTCTGTAACCGGTATCACTTCTTCCTACACCTCTGTTTTGGGGAAGGGGATGCGGCACTACTTTTAGTCATTTTTTAAACAAAGTGTCATAAATGCTGAGGTTTAAGATTTTGGGACGGTTTCAGGAGTAGTTATGCTCTATACCGTAGCTATCCAAAAAGTGAGGACAAACATGCATTTTCTAGGAACTGGCTATGACACTTGATAATGGACTGGATTTCCCGTTTACTTCTATATACGATCAAACTCAAATTGAAGGCTTACCACCGGTAGGTCACCATATTTTTTGACGGGCTGTTACGTATGTCATAAGATAATGTAGGCGCAAGGCACTCGTGCTATAGCACCTAAGCCTATGGAAGTACCACCAGCAGTTCCACATCTTGGAAATGGGATGAGAAGTACCGAGTCGCCAAGATTGGCTGTACGACCAATTGTTAGCAGTACTCGAGTTGCTACCGTAGCTCCGCTATTGAACAGGGGAGCATTGCCCGTTCTGAAAGTAAGTTCATATAGGTGTGAGATAGGCAGTCTCTGTATTGTGGCCATGAGCATATATGATCCTTGTCTTTAGCGTCGTCCAGCTCAGAGTAGTAGCTCCGATGTTATCACGCTTGGTGATGAAGAACCCGGTCCATCAACAGCAAAACGACTGCCACCGCCTGCACAGAGAACGAGGATGAGTGAAGTCACTGCCGCGAAATGCAAGGTCATTTTTCATAACTTACGCAGTAATCATTTGAGGTCACTGAAGATCTCTAGGGGACAAGGGAGGTCGCAAGGGCAGTGGTTAGACTTATTAGGATTGATCGTACCAGTATATTTCTCACAGCTTATTCAAACTCGATAACTATAGGGATATAAAGGCTACTAGTTAGAACTTTATATCAAGTCATTTTTTGGCGTTTTTGGCCACGGTTAGAGTTCTTATTGGATATCTATAAATTACATCAAAAATGCCCTTTTCTAAGGTTAGTGCGAACTGCCAATAGATGGTATGTTTGTGTTTCTTCGGAAGAGGCTCATGTGTATTTAGCACTTTTACATCTCTTTTTAGGTTTGTGATGCTCCTATGCCATCAGCTCAGATTTTATCACTACATGAACTGCACAAAAACGGAATGGTATGGCTTTGCTCTTCTTTTATATCTGAAATGATAGGGGTTATCTTTAGAAATGGTTTTGTCTTGATTGTGCAAGCGCACAGATGGATGAAGTTGAGGCAATGAAGCATTATTTCACTGTGCATGTAAAAGTTGCAGAGCAAAAAGCCATTGAGAGAGGTATGCTGAGCTCGTTCAGCTCGAGCAGTGTTCTGATTTTTCCTACGTTAAGGTCAGTTGTTCCGGCCTTTGCATTATGACCTGCAGTGTCCATTCCCTAAATGTCGAGAGCCGCTGTCAACGCTCACCAACCTTCGAATTCACATCAATAATAAGCATAGATCAGAAACAGCGTATTCATCAAGGTATTGCATGAGATTCTGTTTCTATATGGTTTGCCGTAAGTGTTCTATCAATTAAGCTAGAAGGCATTTCTTATCCACGAATCATAGTATATGTTTTAAGTGCTTGCATGTTCCGGTTCTGTTCACCGTTTGCGAAATCAAAACATGACGGGCAACATTCAACATATGAGAGGTAAAGAATCATCAATTTTATGCTGAACTTGCTCTCATGACTTTTTTGTTTAACGAACTTAGTTTAGTGTCAATGGTGTGGAAGGGACGTGTTGTCCGCTTTGTGGCACGCTGAATCAATGGAATATACAGGTATGATCTCTTATAGTGCTCTCTATTTCTTAAGAGAATTTTTTAAAATGCCAATTATCTGTTGTCTAGGGTGCAATCTTTTCTGTTCTAGATGCCTGGTTCCTCATATACTATGAGCCATATTGCTGTACATGGTTTGCGCCGATACCATATGTGTCGCGACTGCTTTGTTTGCTTCAAGGGTGACTA